CTGCTTGACACCCTCCAGCTTCAAATTCTTGCACCTGACTTTCTGGATCTGGTCTGAGAGTGAAGTTATCCTGGCTGATTTTTGACGACACTCCTCGTGCACTAAAGACAGACTCTGGCTGAAAACAACGGTTAAACACTCGGTTAGAGCGTAGCTCAGTTTAAATGTGTGACGAGAGATGAGCTAAAAATGTGTTTAATAGCCTGAATCTTTTCTTTTAATGTAAGTCTGTCAGTTGGTACTAAAATAAATATGTGTCTGATCCTGTTCTGTGGACATTTAAAAAGACATTTGTCTTCTACCTGAGAGTCTTGATTTTAGCCAGTGTGCGCAGCTTATCCAGCGTACAGTCCTTCAGCTCTGTAGTCAACTGCTGGCACTGTTCTCTTAGCTCATGTACGTTCTGAAAAATGGAAGACAGTGAATGATTTTAGTGATAATTGTGCTTTAATTAATGATATTTAATGTTACTTTTATTTCATAGTCATAAACAATATCAAGCTCAATGCTGGGAGCTGATATATTTCAGGCGTTCTCGTTGCAGAAGCTGCAAACATAATGATTTCATACATCCTATCAGATAAAACATCAATTTTCCATCTTCTTCTTGGGTTTGACTTTCGACACTAAAACAGATATCTTTAAGTATATGTGTAAGTGCAAAACACTGAGACCAGTGCTTGGTCCTCACAGGAAATGGAAGACATGCGCTGTTCATTTCTTATTTGATGTAGAGAAAAAAAATGTAATAAAAAATACTGCGAATTCTCAAAAATCTCAAAAATACTGCTAACTTCTTGGGAAGCAGCAACTTTGAATGATAGGTATAAGTTTGTTTTTTCAGTCCTACTTAAAATCACTCTCATCAGTTGACTGAAAAAACTGAAACTGAGTAGATTTATATAAACTTTCAGTCTCAAACCCGTTCGGGGAAGCTGCTGTGAGCTGTCCGCAGTTCCTGAGAAATGCATACACTATTATATATTGTACATATATTTATTAGTTTCAGGTTGGCCATTCTTGTATTTTGCTCGTTTGTGCTGTTGTGTTTGCACATCTCTGTTGCTTGTGGGGCTCGCACACAAGAATTTCACTCGCATGTGCTGTGCCAGTGTGCCTGCACATGTGATGTGACAATAAAAAGTGATTTGATTTGATTTGACTTGGAAGGCGCTTTAATATGAAACATCCAGCGTCTTAGTGAGGTGACATTACTGTCACGAACAGCTGTCCTCTCACCTTCTTGAGGATGGATTTCTGCTGAATAATCTTAATGAAATCTTTCTCCAGTTCATCTTGTTCAGAACAAAGATCCCTCTGTCTGGCTTGCATGGCGTCTACGTCCTCCTGCAGGGGCACCAGCTCACTCTTCAGAAAGTGAAGCTGCTCCAGCCGCTCCTCGTGCTCAGCCCTGTTTTTCGTAAGTATTTTTTCAGTCTTCAGCTTTACAGTAGGCTCCACGATGCTCTGCAATCGCTCAACTTTCCTGGTGAGTGGACGAGAGAGAATAATGGATGAATATTTATTGCTTGTTGTGAAGAAACAGTGAGATCCTGACTGGACTTCACCTGTCCATCTCCACCTGTTCTGCCACCTTCACTGTTTTGGTGGCAATGTCATGCTCTTCCTTCTGTTTTTCCAGCTGCTTCCACAGAGACTCCATGGCAGACAGACGCCAGTTCACTGAAATCAGGTCCTTCTTCTGCTGCTCCAACTTTTTCACTGAGGGGAGGAGAGGAGTGTACAGGTAGCAAAGAGATTATTGATGCATGCTGGGTAATCCAGGTAAGGAAATCTAAAAAGTTGATTCTGAAACTAAGCCTGTGGTTCATTGTTAAACAATAGTGCTATTTTTAGTCGTTTCTAAGGTTTGGGATTTAATGACGTAACGAAATATGTCTCCCTGAGCTAGAGAAGAGATGACGCTCCACTCGAAGGTGTTTGAAACAGTGTGTAAGCACCACCTGTTCAGTGGGGACTGTGACCACACTGTCCTCACTGCTTCTTACATTTTATTTTTATTCTAAATTTCTCTATTTGACATCACACTGTAAACAGCCCTTTACTAAGTTATTGCATCTATACGTATCCAACGTTTGTACATGCACACACCGGCCATTTCATTAGTTACACCTTGCTAGTACTCGGATTAAACTCCTCTTGCCTTAAGCGATGCCTTAAAATTCTTCGTGGCATGGACTCAACTGTAGCTCATCTGCTATCATCGAAGTTCTGTGCATTCAGAGATGCTCCTCTGCATACCTCGGTTCTGCTGAGTAGTTATTTGAGTTACTTTTGCCTTATTATCAGCTCAACATGGCATTTTCTCCCAGAGAATTCACTGGATATTTTCCCTTTTTTAGCCGATCCTCCGTAAACCCTAGTATTAGCTGTGTGGGGAAAATCCCAGGACATCAGCGGTTTCTGAAATACTGGGACCAGATCACCTGGCACCAACAACCACGCCACATTCAAAGTCACTTAAATCCCCTTTGTTCCCCATTTATGTGCTCGGTTTGATTTTCAGTCGGTCATCTTGGCCATGATGGTTAGATGACGCCTCACGGAGTGTGTGGAAAAGTCTGCTTACTGTGTGGAGAGAGACTGAACTAGAGTTAATCATTCTGACATCGCAACAACAAATCAGTGAATACTAAATGCACTGAGTCACCTCCATGCGAGTGACTGATTAGATATTTGTGTTAAAAAGCAGCTGCAGATGTGTACCTAATAATGTGGCTGATGAGTGCACATGGTTATCTTTCCCTTTTCAAAGAGCTCCTCAAACAACAACAGTGTAAACCCAGGAAGTGCTCTGATGTGCTTCCTGTCCTGTTTTCAGGTACTGAAGAATTAATTTGTAAGAATATCAAATAATCTTTTTGGTCTCATTGATAATTTGCTTTTTTCCTATTGGTGCTGCTGTCAAAATGTTCTCACCCTCTATCTTGTTCTCTGACTTGAGCTTTTCAATCCGCTCACGCATCTCCTGCATCTCCTTGCTGTGCTGTGGCATCAGGTTGTCTCTGTAGCGTTTGGCTTCCTGATGCTCATTCTCCAGCTGTTCCAACAACTCAGACACCTTCTTTTCTTTTGCAGTCAGGATGCGTTTCAGGTGACCAGTCTGGATTTTTGAGTCCTCCTGCAGCACGGCGAATTCAGAGACGAGCTCCTGGTATTCTTTCTCCATCTGCTCTCGTTTAGGCCGACAGCTGCAGGTTGAAGAGGGACACGGCAGGCTCAGGGATTAGAGTCAAGAATCTAGTTTGACCTTTGTTATACATACAGTGTGCATCATTGCATTCACTTGTTCACTTAATTGTTGCTCAAGGCCGCTTTAAAAACATTTACAAGGAGAACTGGCTCCTTGAAGGCAACACTTAAAGAAATGGGGGCGGTGCCTCAAGACTGTTGCCTGGTACTGCACTTTAAATTAATTCTCTGTTATATTTAACGTAAATATAGTATTCTCTCAATTTTATTTGCATACTACACTATTTGCTTCCCAATAATCTAAATTTCGAGATTTAGGTTAGGCAAGTAGACAATACTGAAGGGAAAAGCTCAAAGTGTTTTTGATAAGATTAACATTAATATGTTAAAAGTGGGAAAGAAAGATACAATTACACTCATATTTCACTGTATAAATGAACTCTTACGGATTTATTTCGATAAAAGTTAAAGAGAAATAGACTTACCTATCCAGCTGCTCCTCTAGATATCGAATTTGTTTCAAATATGAGGCCATTTCTTTATCGGAAGCCATTTTATCTGCTGTGCTTGCTTTTTTCTCCTGTGTATTTTCCGGTTTTATTAGTTATTTAACTAGTTTAAGCAGAAAACGATAACTGCAAACAAACCGTTTGGCTACTGTCCTTGTTACTAAGGAACTGACCGCTCCGGAAGTTCTCAAGTCAAACTTTACTCTTTAATTAAACATTAAATATTATTAAATCGATGTTATCTATTTTATCCGATATCAGTGGCATTTTCTTCTTTGTGCATATCTTCATTCCAGTTTATGGTGTTTTTCAAAAGAAAAAAAAACGAAGAAGAAAAGGAATCGGTTGTTATAATCGAGTGATGCTTTCAGGGACCGTTTGTCAGATCAGTTTTCACAATCTAACTTCAATATTATGTGGTTGCGTTTATTTATTTATATTATTATTTTGAGGATTTAGCCTTTTATTATTTCTAGTTTAAAATTTATATAGAAATATATGTAAGATTTTCATATTTCTTAAATAAGAAAAATTTATTTTAAAATTCCTGTTTTATTTTATACTTATTATAAATTAACTTTTTTCTATGTTATATAAATTTCTTTTCCATACTGTAATATTTATAAAGCAATACAAACCCCCATGAAACAGTGCCAACACTGTGATCATCATTAGTTGATTATACATACAATACATAGTGACTGCAGTTTATCTTTAACATCTATGCTTTTAAGCTGCTGATGTCATCTTTTTCTTTAGTTTATTCCTTTTATATTTGGATGGATTTGAGTTCACATGTGTTTTCTTTTGTTTTTTCATCCTGTTTTTGTTCCTTTCCTCTCCATCGCTGATTGTTTTCGAATACACCATGTCACATAGACACTGAAATTAAAGGTTTCCCATTCCTAGTGTGGATGGATAACAGCCAACTCAAAATAGAAGAATAAGCCCAGATATTGCTGCATGGATGATATAATAGTACACTCTAAAAAATGATTCATGGGGTTAGTAAGTAAAGCTTAAAATTAATAGCTTTTTCTGCATAAAAAATTAAGTTTGTTGCATGTACACATTGTAATCAGTTGATAACTTAATTTAATGAGTTGGTCGAAATGAAAATAAGAAAACAGTCTTAGCTCAGTAATATATCGATTTGAACAGACATTTCTGTGTTAACTTAACATGAAAGTGTATTCAGTTTAATACACTAAAAATCTCGTAAGCGTCCTTTAAAAGCTGAGTACAAGGCTGACTTGCCCGGACATGTGCTCTCAGACCACTGATCGAAAGAAACGGAGGCAAAGAGAGAAAGCAGAGAAGCGGCATTTTGTACGGAACATTATCAAACGTTAAAGCTTTGTGGTGAGTACAATTTTTTGCCTTGTTTTATTCACAGCAGCTAATAATAACTCTAACTTTAACTCTATCAACACGCACTGCAAGAAATCCTTTTTACACAACACTAAACTCTTCCTCGGCGAGTGGTGGTGATAAGCTAGTAACGTTACACTTCTGGCTAACTTGTGAAGTAATTCGACCGTAACATTAGTCTTTGTTAAGTTTTGTTTTACAGTGGCAGCCAAATGGTGTTAATTGACACTGAGCTTCTGTAGCAGTAGTTTTAACTCTGCAAAGACAGGGTAATACACGTTTTTCTTCTTTCTACTTTGAAATCGTTGCAGCGTTGATGAAGGTTTGACCAGCAAAAGGCTGGGCCATTTTACATTCATGACTAAACAAATGTAGGTACTGAGTATACATTCGGTTTACATAGATGCATTTGATGTTTAAGTCCTAGAGTTATTTTTATGTGAGATTGAAGTTTGTTAATTGAGCCCTAGCTGAAGAACAGCCTGTGTCAAAGTTCAGTCAAAAAACGCGGGCGAGGAAGCGAACGCCATGTTGTAGAAACGCCACAGGAAAGATCTTAAGTAACATTCATAAACTAGTTGTTTTAATGACATTACATTGAGTGTGCATTAGCACATAAATATAATTTTGCTCTTTTGGGTTTAACTGCAGATACATAAGCGCAGTTGTATCACTTAAGAAAAAATATCTTTGATTTGGAAACATAACATAACATTCTCCATTCGCAGGCAGGAAGTTGTCAATCAAGCACCAAAAATCAATGACCTGAAAGAAAGATGGCCTGCTCTTTTTGATGCAGTTCGGGTAAATATTTTTCCATAAGATAATTTGCAGTATGTATTCTTTTAAAGTAAATTGTATACATTAACATGTTGTGCCTATTTGTGCCTTTTTTTTATACAGATAAACCAAGAATTCAGAAGGATCACCACTGTTAACCTGGAGACAACATCATGCAAAGCTGGACCAGTACTCTCAGAAAATAATGTCCTTGCTGTCCTCAAAGAGGAGGGCTGCAAAAATGCGCATTCGGCGCATCCAGAACATGCTGCTGAGGTATGAATGAATGAAATGTAGTTTATTTCAAATAGGATAATCCACTTTTTTTTCCCAATAGGTGATATTGAGTCTTAAAAGGTAGCTGTTTACAACTCAACTATGTCAATATTGTTTAGAGCTTGAGGCACAATATCAATTAAAACTATAAATACTAATTAATAAAACAAATTATAGGTGATGTAGATCATGATTGGCAGAGTAATTTGCAAGATTTTGCAGTTTTTCTATTTGTTACCTGGATTTTTCAAGTTCATGAATTGATCATTTCAGAGAAATGGCTCTTTGAAATGATCAATTCATTATTTTGATTATCACTGGAAATCTATAATTGGTACAGTTCAGGCCATATAAAGTCAATCCTTTTTTCTTTTTTTTTTGGATGTAATTATCAAAAACCCATCCTCCCTCGAAGAGCATTCGACATTCTTTTCTTATTCACAGGACGATTCTGTGGAGAGAAGGCGAGAGGTCGCTATCCGTGGCTTAGTGGTGTATCTCAGGGAAAAGGAGGAGGATCTCTTCAAAGAGCAGGTAAATCAGACATGACTATACTTTGTATTAGAGGTACGATCTAATCTATTATTAATGATTTCTAAATTAATCGGCAACTATTTGATAATTGATTGATCGGTTTAAGTAATTATTTAGAAAAAGAATCCAAATCTCTGGTTCAGCTTCATAAATGTGAATCGTTTCTGGTTTCTTTACTCCTCTATGACAGCAAACTGAATATGTTTGACATTTGAGGTCATCATATTGGGCTCTGAGAAACATTGACATTTTCACCATTTCTGACATTTTCTGGACCAAACAACTAATCAGATAATCGTCAAAGGAGCTTGCAAAGAGAACCTTCACAGACATAATCAGATAACTAAAATTGTTAGTTGCAGCCCTATTTTGTGTTACTCTCATGTATAAGTATGATTATTAAAACATTTTATGATTCTGATCTACCAGGATGGTGGCGGGGATATTACCAATGAAGTGATGAAGATTGTAACCAGAGGTGCCACAACGTCTGATCCAGCCAGCGCAAGGATCATACTTGAAGGAACAGAAGTCCTAGCAGACCTGGATGTACCCAGAGCCTGTGCCTTGCTAATGGGGCTGATATATGCACTCAACCTCAGCTACCCAAAAGAACTGAAAAACACTTTGAAAAACACTTTTGAAGTGTTCAAAAGATATTCCGAGCTGGATGATCTGAAAGCCAGTCCTAAGGTAATGTCACTAAAAAGTAAACTGTTGTACTAAAAAATGTGAAGAGTGAGGCTATCCTCAAATTAAACGGGAAATGTTCCACTGTTGTTTGCAATGTGTTGTGTTACATACTGTACAGTAGGCAGTAGGTGTAAAGTTGAGCGTTGAGCATTAAGTACACCTAGTTAAAAATAATGCACTTTAAAAGGATAGCTCGGGTCTTTTGAAGTGAGGCTGTATATGAGGTACATATTATTGTGAGTGTATTACACACAGTAGATGGCAGTCAGTAAGCTCCACCTACGGAGAAGCAGACGGGGCCACCGGCACGCAAGATGAGCCTCCATCATAATAAAACTAATGTCAGTTTAAATGTACATTATATCAAGAATATGTTTACTGCTTTATTTTGCTATCAGACAGCCTTTTCTGTGAGGAAAGAGAAGTTCTACTGCTTGTTGTTTCAATCGCTCTGGCCCACCAGCGTCCATGGACAAAAACAGCAATTTACCTGACAGCACACAGGAGTTGCTGGTCTCCTGCTGCCTTGATCAGTAAGTGTAATTGTGTTATTGGTGACTTGGTGTTAGTTCGGGTTAGTTCAGATTTACCAAGTCACACAAACAAACTGAGCCTATCGTGCGTGTTGGTGGCAGGAATTGCTGACTGCTGTCTACTGTGTGTAAACACTCACAATGTACTTCATACTTAAAAAAACCTAAACTATCACTTTAACACAAACAAACTTGAATCAGAGCATGACTGTCAAAATGTCAGTCTTTTGAGACAGATTACAGGGGTGTTTTATGTCATTTATTTATGGAGGCAACAATTTTGTCTGCTATTGAAATGTCAATGAGTCTGGAATGGTGGACTGGTGTTCTAATAAACAGTTTGATCATAAAACTGGAATTTCAATGTGTAATTTATTGTATAATTGTAAGTTATAAGTTATTGTAAGTTACTAGTACTCAAAAAAATTAAGGTAACAATTTGCATGGATATTTCTGAGTAGAATAAAAGTAAAAAAATAAGTTTTAATAACTAAATGGAGTAATTTTTTAAACAATTAAAATTAAGTTGGTTCAACTTAATTAAGCTTGTAGAGGACAAAGCAAATCATGTTGTTTGTACGTAAGGAATAGAGTTTGCCTAACTAGAGAACTCTTGTGGCATTTACGCTATAGTGGCTAAGCTGAAGTAACTTAAAAAGATCCATGCAAATTGTTACCTTAATTTTTTTTATGTTAAGCCAGCAGATCTTTTTTTAGAGTGTAGTTAGACTCTGGTAATAACTACACTTACACATCAAATTGTAGATATGAAGAATAAAACACACATATACGGTCAGACAGTATGTCAGATTGACTTGATTTATTGTCGAGGTCTGTCCTATGATTGGAAATGCAATGAGGTGGCTAATCTCTGTCTTATCTTACCTGTCCTTCCTGTTCTTGAACTTAATCAGTGGTTTGCACCTTGTTGTGAACCCAAGATGATGACATGCCGACCTCCTCAGCAGTAGATGTTGTTTTTGTCTCTCTTTGATCCTCATATTTAAAATCACGGAGAAAAGCTTTACACTCTAAACTCAGCACTTTGAATCAAGCTCAAACATCATGTTTACTTTATTTGTTTGAAATGAAGAAAGAGGCCTCACCTGAAACTGCCTGTTGATTGGTTGTCTAATTAGTTTTGAGGATCTGAAAATGTGGCTCTGTGTATAAAATGAGTCCAGTTCCTGATCAGTTTCTCTAAAGTCTGTACAGACAAAACTACACAATTGTGTAGTTATCCAACAAATTATAGACTTAACTGTATGACTCAGTTAATTAGATTGGTTGTGTACTCATTAATCACTCATCCATTAACATTTTGTAGGAAAGACTGAAGACAATTGGTGTGACTGTCTCACAAAGGGAGATTTAAGTGGGTATTTTTAGAGATATTTTCCAGTTGGTTGCATTTCCAAGTCACCACCAACAGAGGTCAGCAGAGACGCTGGGATCCTCGTTATTCCCCTTTGTGTTCACAACATGTTTGTGTGCATGTTAAGCTGGAAGCAAATATTTGGACATATTTAGGAAATAGTTTGATGACTGAGCCAAAATGAGCCTTTCTTTAAACGTTAGTGCACTATTACTGGAACTGGGAATCCTTTGTTAACGTTTCAGGACTTTCATGGATCATTATCAGCTGATGACATTCCAGATGATTAGTTTTCTGTCTCCTCAAACACTGATGGTACCCAACAACCACCCTGGGGTCTGAAAATAAAGTTTACTGATGTTTCTAAAAGAGGCAAACACCATAAAAAGATATGAAAGTACTTCCGGCTTGCTATTTCAACTCTCTGAACCATCCCTGACAAATGGCAGTCAAGAGAAGCAGTGAAAGTCATGACAAAGTCATTACTGAAGCTTTTCACATAAACTGCACATCAGCTTATATGGTACGTATATGAAACAGTAGCTGGAGAGCTTGAAGGAGGCATGGTGCTCAGACAGGTCTACAAGGAAGTGTTATAAGGAAGAAATCCATCCTTAAATTAAGTCTAAATTTATTGCTGTCTTAGTTATTTCCCTCTTGGGCTTTTTGGCTTTACCGCCACCTCTTTCTGTAATATGCAGTTCTGCTCCTGTGTTTCAACCTGTTATCTTTCTGTTTTGTTTTGTACAAGTATACAAATTCCATCTTTCCAATACTTGACCTGAATTCTTTCACGTTCTCAGAAAACAAACCTCCAAGTGGGAAAAAGCTTAAAATATTTGGAATCAACACATATGTGTAAAAAAAACAACAACAATTCACTTTATTAATTTCTTTTACTCTCAAACTCACCAGGTTTTAAGAGTTACTTACCAACAACCTTCCTGTGTGCATTTTGATAATTTGAGAGGAATTTTCATTTTTAAAAAACACCTAAAGCTGAACATTTGTTAACGTTCATTGTAACATTGGTTTACAAGTTCAACACTTCAGCGAAAGAAAGAAAGAAAGAAAGAAAGAAAGAAAGAAAGAAAGAAGCGGTTGATAAACTGAGCCGTCTACAAAAGGCCTTCTTTGAAGTGTCAAACTGAAAAGCATCACTTCTGTTGTGAAACGTGTTTTATTTTTAAAACAAACACAAACACAGTCTGTTCCTGAAAATAACAAATCTGATAAATAAAAAGCAAACACATCGCAGAACAATCAAGCATATTTTCACAAAGAAGTCAATAAAAGTAAAAAATAAAAATAGAGAAGTGTTGTGAAAGTATTGAAATGGGACCCTGAGGTCAGAATGTTTTCAAAAAGTTAAAAAACATATAGTTTTGTTGTTGTTTTGTATATGCTTCACTGGAAGCTAAACCTGCTGAAGATGAGGAAGTAGAGGAGGGCATCCATTACTTGGAGGGTTGGTGGTTCAATCCCTGGCATGCCAGCGTATCCTCGGGCAAGACACCGAACCCCAAGTTGCTCCTGACTCATTTGTCCAAGTGTGAATGTTAGATCAAAAACACTTAGGTGTACAAAATTTCTTGTGTGAATAGTTGAGTGGAACAAGTTGTATGAAGTGTTGCAGTAGAGTAAAGAAGTTGTAGTCAAAACCAGTTGAGTCACCATTTACTAGCATTAGTACTTTTACCAAAAGAGCCACTATAACGCCACTTCCAAAGGAAAGTAAGGTTTAATTCAACTGTGTGGCC